AGCCACCATGTTGAATATACAGCTCCTTCACATAACTCGTGCATAGTTTTAGAGTTAAATAACATCATGATCCACAGCATGTTGCAGCAAACCTAATCATTCACACAAAGTTGAAAATGCCTTGAAAAGGGAATCATGAGTATGTTGATCATGTGCCTACGCATTCTTGCAAACAAGTTTTACAGGTTCCCAGCAACTCCCACTTTGCCAAAGAAAACAATAGGACAAAAGAAATAAGGGTAAACCATGGCAAATGCAGCTTTTGTCAAACTATCTTCAATATTCTGAAAAAATGGTCTTCCTCGGAAGCTAGCCAATGAAAAATGCTTAAGCATTTTGTGAAGCAAATCGGTAACAAGTGCCAACTTGTAGCTTGGAGCCTGAATTCCTATAGGAAGAGGGTAAAATTCAAGCCCCTGCTGGGATGTCTCTGCTCTCTGCCCACAGGACGCTCATGCACACGGAGAACCCACAGATCAAGAGAGCTCCTAATGAAATGGCTGCTTCATCTCTCATGGCTGAGCGCAGGGATATTTAATTAGTATATCAGTAGGGGAGCTGGCTCAGGCATACAGCCAATGGGACTAATGAACAAACATTGCTGTGGTTGTCCATATAGAGGGCTTTGCTGAATAAAAAGAATAGGGCAAAAAGAACAAGAAACAGCTTGGTCTGATTCAGCAGGAATGCCTTACCTCTCTTCACAAGACAGAGATATGCTCACTCAGCGCATTGGTGATCACATGGTGAGCTCTGTGTTGGTTTCCAGAGAAAGCACCTTTGGGAGTCGTTCCAGGAAAAGGCTTAGGCTGGGGGTGGGGGGGATCTTTGTTTTTTGTTTTTTCAAGCTGAAGATTAATATGTGACTGTTCAGTGTAAAGCCACTATACTTTTATTGTATGTTTTTGTTCTTGTTTTTGTTGTAAGCTCCTTCAGGAGCTTCATGTGAATGGCAGACAGTTGAAGCATACATTAATAACTTCAAGTAAGGAAGTTCTTGCCTAACTCTCCCAAACTTTTTAAGTCTAATTTTTCTTGATTCCCCATTCCTTTGTGTAGTAAAACCTAGAGACACCCTTGACAGGCCCTATAATTCTCTCTTCCTCTTTGTTATTCTTTCTGGTAAAAAGCCCTTCTTGGAACCCCCCCCCCCCCCACTGCAAGAACTCCTTGGTCAGTGTCAGCCAAAATTCTGATATGTATGGCATGCTACTTTTCTGAGTTAAAAGTGAAGACATACTTGACTATTCAACTCTATTCACTTATGGCTCTAGAGATGTGTATTGTGAAAGAGTGCTTGAGGTAGGACAGTATTTTAGCATGCTGGTTTGATACAGCCCCAGAAGGCTACAAAAGCACCTGGATTAGTTCCGTTGTTTAATATTTGCCAGGGGCAGACTCAGTACCTTTATTATGCCTTGTGAAATGAGGCATGTCATTTTCTGAATGGTGCCTGTTATTGCATTTATCTAAATTTAGATCTCTGAAGTTTTGTGCCATTTTTCTTTCCGTATGAATTAGAGCCATTCAAACAGGTTGAAATATGAAAGGCCAGCAGAGGCATGCAAAATAACAATTCAGAGGTTAGATGCCTTTGTCAGGGGAACTGGAAGATGCTTTAGCCCAGTCTTACAACTGGCATACCGAACCAAGAACAAGAAAATGCTCAACTATACAAGAGAAAGAGGCCAGTTTATAAACATATTGTGGGACAGTGGTGAATGCTGTAATGCACTAAGGGATTTTGGGTGGCAATGATGATGATGGCAGGGTTTTCTTGAGTTGACCAAATGTCACTGTGGGGCAAAAGAGGCAGAAGTGTCCGTAGTTACCATTGGCTGAGCTGAGAATTGGCCACTGACTGAGTCACAGGTGCCTTTGGAAACAGAAAGGAGGAGGACAAGCAGGGCCTATGGAAGAGACAGCAACATGAGAAAAGGCAGCAGGCCAAGAGGAGGAGGTTTTGGAAGAGGGTGGTGCAGGGAATTAAGCATACAAAAGAAAGCCAGAGTGAGAAACAAGAACGAGAGGAAGATAACCACAACAGAGGAAGATAAATGGGCTGAGCTGAGAAGGGTATGTGTTCAAAAGTTCAGGGGTCAAGAGAGTACAAGGCACATCTGATGAGCCAAATCTCTGGCTGTAGACCTTTAGACTCCATGTGTTATGAGGAAAGGAACAGCTAGAATGTAGCACACTTCTTAGATACTAGACCCGCCTTCCCCAACCAGCTGTGTTCCAGATGTTTTAAACTTCAACTCCCAGCATTCCAAACCATTGGTCATACTGACTGGGGTTGATAGGAGTTGATATCCAGAAGGCTGCATTACAACAGTGATGTAAGCACTTTGTGTGTGGCATTAAGGCATGGGTGGTTGGTGTGTAGAGGGCCTGAGCCATAACAATCTATGCTGAATCATCAGACTGGCTTTCATCCAATATGAGCAGTGGTCCGAAAAATGCTTATATAGCATCAGTGCACCATTTTGGGCAAAACCTGAGCTGTAAATCAAAGCTCTGTTAAACTTATAGTAATTTCAACTTGTCTCTCATAGTTTTATGGAAGGTTTTACTAGCTGCCAGAAGAATGATCTGAGCAGTTTCAAGACACTCTAAATATAATCTCCTAAGGGGGGAAATGTATCAGCCACATTTTCAGCATTGAACCACCATTCTGCGCATTGTGATGAAAATTCAATCCAAACTCTGTGCCCTGGCCTACTCTTCTGGGTCAATAATTTTATACACTAGCATGACATTTGTGTCATTTGCTAGGAGTTGATTTTGTCAGCTGCATTTTGTCTCTGTTGGGGTAGAGGGTGTCAGCCTCAATTTTCCTTTCCTTGTTTGTTGCTTAGTAAAAGGGTGCCTAAAAGGCATACACATACAAGTACACAGATGTGCACAAACACAGAGAGTTTTACATGGGAATGAATTGAAATGAATAGGAGACGTGCTACTTTGTTCTCATATAGCTCCCATTGACTTTAGGGGGTTGTGCAGGAGGACAGCCAAATAGATCTATTCACTTCCTCATTCTGCCATCTGAAGTGCAAGTCATATCTTGCTTATCGCACACAAATTTTGGAACGATGTTGCTTAAAGAGCAGCATCTTCTTCCTAAAATATGAGTGCAATCAGCATTTTGTTTTTCATGTGCTAGTATAAATAGATTTCTTTTATTATGTCTAAAGACTACATTTTTAAAATCATCTTAATGTTTCTAGCTGCTCAGCTATCTTTTTTTAGGGTGCAAGCCTGTTGAAGTTCCCATAAGCCCTCAAGGCAGAGGTTTATGAGCATCTAATGCAACAGCTGAATTTGTGTTGATGCTTTTTTAAACAATTGTGTTTTATTATGTGGTTTGATTGCTGGTTTTATTTCTGCTTTTATTATGTACCCTGCCTTGAGAACTTCAGTTAAAACGTAATTCATAAATTGAGAAGAGACAATATTGGACACTGGTTGCCACTTTATCTTCTGCCATTTCTCCTGTGCCTTTATGAGAAACAGAAATCCAACTGGTAAAACCTTTGTAATCGTTCCATCTCCAGGTTAGGAAAGATTCTTGCCCTGTTCATTTTCTGCATGCTGTGCAGCTATTATAGTGACTCAGCTTTGAAAGGATTTAGAGGAGCACTGGGGGGGGGGCAAGAAGTTTGCAGAGAAGCTGATTTTTTTTCATCACTCTGCACAGCAGAGAATGCAAAGCAGATACCTGTTCCCAAGCTTATGTATTCTGGAAGGGAGTCGGTGGAATTAAGGGAGACGGTAGTGACAAAAGACAAAATTCTCAGCTTTATTGACAAACTGAAGGTTATTAAATCACCCAATCCAGATGGTATCCATCCTAGAGTTCTGAAAGAACTCAAACATGAAATTGTTGACTTTCTTAGCAAAACATGTCTATAAAATAAGCTCTTGTGCCAGAAGATTGGCCAATGTAACACCATTTTTTTAAAGATATCCAGGAGGGATCTGGAAAATTACAAGCCAGTAGGCTGAACATCTGTTCTGGGTAAACTGCTTGAAAGCATTATTAAAAATAGAATCAGTAGTCACACAGTGGAACAAGCCATGCTGAAAGGGAATTCCACAAGGGGAAATCCTGTCTCACTAACCTATTAGGGTTCTTTAAAAGTGTCGATATGTATGTAGACATGAGTAATCAAGCAGATGTCATTTGCTTGGACTTTGAAAAGGCTTTTGACAAAGTCTCTCACCAAAAGTTCCTGAGCAAACTAAGCCATTGTGGAATAAAGGGGGAGGAGTCCTCTTATGGATCACTAACTGGTCAAAGAGAGGACAGAGGGTGGGAATAAATGGCATTTTTCCCAATGGAAAGATGTCACTAGTAGAGTCCCACAAGGTTCTGTATTAGGTCCAGTACTTTTTAACTATTCATAAATGATCTGGAATTAGGAGTAAGCAGTGAATTGGCAAAGTTTGCTGATGACACCAAAATATATATGGTGGTTAATACCAAGAGGGATTTGTGAAGAGCTCTAAAGGGATATCTCCAGCCTGGGGAAATGGGCATCAAAATGGTAAATGCAGTTTGGTGAAAGCAAATGTAAAGTAACACACGTTGGGGGAAAAACTCCCAACTTCAAGTAGAGGCTGCTCGAATCTGAGTTGGCAGTGACCAAGCAAGAAAGGGATCTTGGGGTAGTAGTGGACAGCTTGAAGAAAATGTTGGCCCAGTGAACAACTGCTGTGAAAAAAGACAAACTCTATGCTAGGCATAATTAGGATTTGTATAGAAAATAGAGCTGCTGAGATATTGTTCCCCGCATACAAATATTTGGTATGACTGCATTTAGAATATTATAACTTTCTCCTGTGCAACAAGAAGAAACAATTTCTTTTTGGAAAAGATAAAGTAAACCAATTATGTTGCTGCTGCTGCGGAATCCTTATTAGGGCTGAAAAATGGTATAGAAATGTCCTTACTATCCGATAAATAATTTTTCACCTTTCCCATTCTCTTTTCTTACAAGGAGCTCATTGAGGTTGACAGTGAAGTTGTGTTTGAATTGGCTGCATACATCTTGCAGGTAAGACAAGTGTTGGAGTTTGTTTGTTTTTACATTTCAAGGCATGTTACTAAGGTTTTTCTTTTAAAATCTCATATAGTCGGATACAGAAAAATGTTTTTTTCTTCTAATCCCTGCCTCCCATGTTATGTTCACATGTGCCCACTGACTTAGAAATATCTCAATAGCACTTTTAGAATTTTGACTTGCTGAAGTTGCTTTTGTGATTCACCAGTCTGTCTTGGGAGCGCATTGCCTGCAGTTCCCATTTACACAGGATATTTTGAACATGCAAACATGGGAGAGATCAGTAAGAGCAGAAACTTAACTATGCTTAGTTCTAGCCATTGTTTCTTGCTTTAACCCAGGTTATGCTCTCAAACATTCAGTGAAACCATAGTTAGCCTACTGAGGGCATGTCAGCAGTACAACCAGGATTAAGATCTTCAAAAATTTAGAACTGGGGTGTAAAATGGTATTTCTATGGGAGCCTGAACTGCCCCCTCCCCACAATCTCTTTGTTGTCCACATGATCTTATACCAACCCCAAACATTTTAGCCTTTCTCCATATTGAAAGAGATATGGAGTTTCAGTTCTGTATGGAAAACCAATAGATTTAGTTGACCCTGAAAAATTTCTGCCCACTGGAAATGCTAGTGAAGAGTTTTCTGCACATATCTGACAAGCATCTTGAAGGACCACCCAATTCAGGCTTTTGCAGTTGCTTTTCAGGAAAATAGAATTAGAGGCTTCTTCTGTGCAAGGAATGTTCCAGTTGATGGTCAACAAACACATCAAAGTCCTAATTATCATATTCTTAGCAGTTCATTTAGTTAATCCTGTTTGCTCAACAAGAGTCCAGTTTGCTACCAACTCAAAAATTGTATTCAGTCTTTCATCTCGGCAGCCAAATGTGGTAGGAAAGACTGTTTCAGTTTACAGTGGTTGTTTAGAGCTCCATTATAAAATCAAGGTCAGTGAGGTGTCCATTCAGTGGCTTTCATAAATGTATATTTTGTTATAACAAGTTGGAAGCCCGTCCTATGACATAATTAGCAGGAAAGGAGATTGCCAGCCCCAAGAGTACTATAGAGTAGTTGTTTGTGCCTTCCACTGTAGCCCCAGTTAATTGATTGCCAATTAAGTGGAATTAACAAACACAATTATAAATTCTGCTATACACATCTACAAACATTTCCTCAGAGCTTTAGCAGTCAATTAATTTGAATTACTGCAGGAGTAGTTAAGTCTAGTAAAACCTCCATAGTATAACTCTGCTTCAGAAATGAGAGAGGGACAGTGAGGGATAAGGAAACATCTGGCATATGATTTCATACAACCATACTGAACAAAGTTTGTTGTTTCCTGAGCATCAGTGATCAAGACATACAGACTCATTTTGCAAGAGTTAGTGAAGGGTTCAATAAACAACAAATTAAAAATTAAGGGCTATGTAATTCCACGTGCACTATAACAAGGTCAAATACCCACACCAAACTGCACTGATTATATTTGATTAGCTGCTGAAGTGCAGAATATATTGTACGAAATAGCAAAATATGAAATAAAATTGCAAACAAAATTGTTCAAATGTGTGTTTATATAATTTCTCATCCAGGTTTTTGGATAGTCAGGATGCAATTTTTAATAGTGGTGAGAAACATCTGGCTGGTAGTTACAAGTGTTTTGCTTAGTTTGAGTGCTTGTGGTACTAATTAATCACCAGTTCTGGATGGAAATTTCAGGCCAGAAAAAAAAAACCCTGGAGATTCTCTTCTGTGATAGCAATTCTTAAGGCAAACAGGAACCCCATATCCTTGAAGCTGCATATATCCCAATCTGATCATAGTCTCTGCTATAGCCCCTATTGCTACATCCTGTGTTAAAAAGGCAAGCAGGAGAAAACTGAAGGGCTCTACCCAGCGAGTGCTAATGAGAAGTTAGTGATTTCTGGCTGCTTGGTGCTGAGCAGGTGGAGCTACAGACCTTAGGTGCTCATGACCACTCTGATGCACCTAAGGATGGAACGGTGTCCCTCTGGTGGCATTCCCATCCTACTGAATATCTAAGCTTACAACCATACCATGTTGACCTACTGTTGCGAATGAATACTCATCTCAGACAACAGACCTGCTCTTTTCACATCTAGCAGCAGGATAGTAAGCTGCAGTGAATGTTTTGAAAAAGGCATTTTACTGAATTGCTTGAACAATTGCCAGATAGACATCAAACTCAAAAATAGACAAATGTCTGGAGTAAACTGATCTCATTTTTCTAGATATCATACATTTTTCTGTGGGAGGCTTGCTTTGCAAAATCATTTCCAAATTTAAGAATTACTTAATTACTTTGATCAACACTAAGTAGTTAGTAATGGGAAACTAAGGTATGTATTTGGGTGCATTTAGGTTGTTGTATTTGGGTGCATTTGGGTTGATGCACAATTTCTTCATCGTGGCCTCTGTGCATCACACATATGGGTATTGCGCTTGCACAGTGCCTGTGGCCAGAAGATTGATAGCTAACAGTTTGGTGGGAAAACTCTGCTCCCCTCTCCCGCTAGCAGTATATATGGAGTGGAGTGTCTGCCATTTTCCAGTCTTTGCGACCACCGTTCGTTGTGCCTCGTGCCGCTTTCGCTCTCGCTCTGACCGTTTTCTTGTCTTCTCTAATTTACGATTGTTCTCTTAATTCCAAGTTTACATCCCTGTTCTTCGATAACTCCTGTTGTCTCTCTTCTTGTTCTTCTCGTTTACTTACTTCTTTCTTCTTTCTAAAAAAAAAACACCAAAAATATATTATTACCCTCTGCACTTCTCTTCTCTTTTCCTTTTCCAATGATGGCACAATGAGCGGCTTTCCGCAAGTGCGTGGAATGCGGGTCAAAAATGTCTCCGGCAGACCCGCATGACCTATGCCTTCTCTGCCTGGGAGAAGGACATAGGACGGACAAATGTGCTCACTGCCTGGCCTTCTCTAAGCAGGCCAGGAAAAATCGTGAGAACCGCCTTCACAGGCTTCTGTGGGACCGTGCACTCCTCCAATCGGACCCACTGGTTTCTCGCCCTTCTGTGACTGCGGCTGCTTGCCCAGCCTCGTCTGCCTAGCTGGCTTCCTCTTCCACGCTCACGCCCTTCGGATGAAGGTGTGCCCACCGTGGGGGCTCGACCTCCCTCCTCGCCTGAGAAGAGGCGTGAGAAGTGGAAGCATAGTCTTTCCGACAAGCCGTCCGAATATAAGAAGGCTAAGAAGGACAAGACCGTGAAGCCTCCCAAAAAGCCTACGAACCCTGAGCATTCCAAGCCCCGAGACTCAGGTTCATCGGCGCCTCGGTCCCGACCACCATTGCGGTACCGACACCACCAGGCCCGACAATTCAGGCAGCCATGCGGGTTACCTCTCCCAGGTCCCCTCGGCGCACAGGCAAGCCAACGACGGAGTCTCTTCAAGCTCCACCTAGGGACTCGATCTCCAATGGGGTGATTTGAGATTCCCCACCCAGGGCTAGGTCCCCCACACCTATGCCCCCAGCTGGATTCAGTGTGGAAGCGGCGATGTCTCCTAGGAGTGGAAGAAGTCACTCGTCCGGGCGAAGCTCGGACGAATGGTACCATCCTCAGTTGTCTTTCTATCATGGATGGGGGGATTACTATTCTGTTGGACGCTACCCGGCTCCCAGAGGTCACTCCTCTCCGTCAGCTCCACGAGACCGCCCTACGTCCTCGGTCCTGAGACGTGCTTCTGAAGCTCCAACCAGGGAGAGCAGTCAATCCTTCTTGCCGGCAGGGTCTTCCTCCACCTCCCCCGCCATACTGTGGGGTTGATTCTGATGACTCCGATGCCGAATTGACCTCTCCGGATATCGCAGTGATTTCCCAGGGCCCTGGGTCTCCCGACGAATCCCACATTTCTTTCGCGGAGCTGATGTCGCGTCTGGTCCAGTCACTGGAAATTGATGCCATACAGCGACCTGGCCCCAGTACCGACAAATTTTACGATGTCGTCCATGGGGAGCAATCAGCGTCGATAGTCTTGCCACTCATTACCACCTTGCGGCAAGCTATGACCCAACCGTGGGACCTTCCTGCCCATCCGCAACTGACTTCTAGGAGGTACAAAGCCATGTACCATGTTCAGGAGGAGGACATTTCATTCCTCCTCCGTCATCCTAAACCGAACTTGGTCATGGTGGAGTTCTCCCAGGGCAGGGAAGCGAGGGGTCACACTGCGCCCAGATATAAAGAAGGGAGAAAAATCGACACCCTAGCTCGCTGAGTCTATGCGGCCTCTGGGCTCGGCTTGAGAATTTCAAATTATGAGGCAATACTGGCTCGGTACCAGTACTTCATTATGCAACGCCTCAACAACGTGCTTTCCACTCTCCCGGGCAACCAAGACGACCTCGCGAAGGTCTTTGTGAAGGAGGCCATGCAGGTCGCGGTGCAACAACTCTCCACCGCCCGACATCACGTGGACACAGACTCCAGGGCCCTGGTCGGTGCCGTCTCCCTCCAGAGGCATGCATGGCTACACAACTGCAACTTTCCGAAGGAGACGAAGAGGTGCATAGAGGAGATGCCCTTCGACAGGTCTGGGCTCTTCCATTCCCGAACCAACCACAAGCTCAAAAAGAACCACGAATCCAAGATGACAGCTTGGCAGATGGAGCTTCAGCCCCAAACATGACATAAGTGGGCTTGGACCTGTCCACCCTACCAGCAACTCTATCAATCCAGACAACAACCACAACACCGGCAACAACAACAACAACGCCATCATCAACAGCCACCACAACATTACCACCAAGGCCGTCGCCGCTTTGAGGGCGACAGGAGACAACGTTGACGGGATGGGTGAACCATTTCTCTGCTTCCTACTCCACCCACCCCTCTCTCACTTGTGGATTGGCTGAAAGGCTGACTTCCCATTTGGGAGTCCATCACATCTGATCAGTGGGTGTTGTCCATCATTCAGCACGGATATCGGTTAGAATTCGACATCGTTCCTCCGTGAGCCTGAT